TCTTCTCTGTGACTCCATGTGGAGGAACAGATACACAGCTACCGACATATGGTGAGCCGTCTCAGGTCATTTCATATCAGATCATGACCATGAACTGAGGAACGCAGAAAGGCTTCAGAGAACAAAGAAAAACAACACAAAGATCGAGACAGGATGGCGAGTGAGAGACGGGATACAGCTGTACAGCTATGTTTATAATAATTATGTTTATGTGTAGAGGTGCATCTTAGTGGGGTGGATGCAAAAAGTAATTTACTTCATTTTAAATCAAAAATGATAGAATTACTAAACAGATGCCAATATTTTTTCCAAAGGTTTATTTCGGTTGGTTGTAATAATTATGGCTTAAATCTAATAGAAATGCAAATTTTCAGTTTTCAGAAAATGTGGGTTTAAGATAAAATCAACGCTAAAATGATTTTAAATTAATACAGAACTTTATTGGTCTTCAGAGTCAGAGGATTGATGACTTGACAACTTAGCGAGTCACTCAATGAGACCCTCCATAAAGAGAGAAGGTGAAGGAAGAACAGGGCCTCTGCTAAAGATGCTGGCTGTTCACAGAGCGCTGTACCCAAACATATTAGAAAGTTTATTCTAATGGAAAACATGTCGTAGAAAACATTGAACAAGCAACAACTTAAAAAAATATGTAAATATATTACCTTTCACTTCTTCCTCAAATTATGTGAATGCTTGTTCACTGCTTACGGCTGTTTTTAACGGCCTCAGCTATCTGAACATGGCTAAATAAATTTAAAAAAAGAAGCTAATCTCATATTCTCACCAAATATTTTCAGATCCCATTTGTATAATTTAGGAGAATCTTTTCTCAAACAATTTTTTACCTACCAATGCTGAATTGTTAATGGAACACACCTATTCAACTCTGCTAGGACAAGGAGCAGAAACGTTTTTAGAAATAACCAGCTAACTGCTGCGTGTTATGCTGCTGCTTTTCCACCGTCAGCCGAGTCCATCATGAATTTTATTTGGGGTCTTGATTTTGCTTCCACCATTAAAGACGTGGCAGGTGTGTAAAACCAAAGCCAACTGTTCTGAGTCAATACTACTGACAGATGTATTAGCATGATAATGAGTGTTATGGTAATGTGATGCTGTTGGGACACACATGTTTACTGGAGACACTAATCAATAATCAATACCAGAGGCAGGAGCTCTGCTCTGCAGGCGCAGCGGTAATTTATCCCTAGAAGAAATTGAAATATTCAATGTTGTTCTTCTAAGCATTTTTGATAGGTTACTCTCTGACACAAAAAGGTTTAAGGTGCACTTTTCTGCATTTATATAATATTTGACAAAGGCAAAAGATTTTAATAAAAATACACTTTTTTGTTGTCATATTTTCTTTATTTTGAGAAGAGTCATGGATGCAATAAAAGTTGTATTAAGGGTTAGAGTGCCTTGCAGGGCTTCTGCAACATTTCTAAAAGTAATAATAACAAAACAACTTAAATAAATTGTGATACAGATGGGTGAAGTTGTAGATTTATGGGTTAAATCATTTTGATCTTGGTTGTAGTGGCTCCTGTTTTGCATGCAAAGGCAAAAAGTGCGAGGGAAGTGTATTTGCCCCTTAGTGAAGGGACATTTTATTCCAATCCTTTAATGCAAGAAGAAAGTACATCCAGGTTACGCAGCTGGCAAAAGAAAAAATGTTGGACTTTCTCCTAAGCTCTCCATGTTTTTTGCGGAGTCAGCCCAGGACTTTTGGCGGAAACCACCACTGCATTGACTGCAGGACTTGCAATAATTAGTTGCATCAGTGTAAAACAATTATTCAGTTATTTTTGTCCCAAAATAATGTAACAGCTCAACAGTCAATAAGCACCATTTATTTTGGTGAAAAATACCAAAAGAGTTAAACAGACAGAAGAGCCAACCACAGCACAAAAGTCCCTGCTGAAATCGATTACCGATGCAAAACTTGGCTCTGGAGCAAAGTGGAATCGCACACTTCAATCTCCAATCACTGAGGCATTTTTGGCCAGAATCAATACACATTACTTTCACAGCTGGTGTTCTTTTAGTGATTACAGAGAGCACCGCTGCATGTCCCCAACAAAAAGAAGAAGAAGAAGAAAAAATCGCGGACATACTCAAAGACACACTGAATTCATTACAAATAAATCGCGGCCGACAAAAGGCCCCAAAAACCACTTCATCACGCCTGCTGGCCTGATTGACTCCAGTCCGCCTCAGCTGCTCTTTTAAGAACTTCATCTTTCATTTATTTTATTTTATTTTTTTTTTACGTCAATGTGATTTCTTCATTGTTACTGTTGTGGATTTACACAAATAATAAATCTGACACCATCGACCCACTGTGAAGGCGTCTCTTAAGTACAATTAGCACAAGCTTACACACACTGATCAAACCCCGACACAGACAGTCTACACTGCTTTAGCCCAGGAGAGTTAAATGCCAGACATTACATGTTTGACTGTAGTTCCACTCTATTACAATAACAGCTCACAACAGGCAGGCAAAGCTTGAAAGGCTAAAGCCCCACAACTACATTTTCTTCCCTCAATAAATGAGGAAAGAAAAAAAGTTTCATTTATCAAAGGGGAAAAAGCTATTCTAACCAACCTGGTCCAGTGTGGAAAAGCAATTGCTCACATAACCTAATAACTGGGTGTGCCACTCTTGGCTGCAACAAACCCAATGAAGTGCTTGTGATAACTGGCATTGATGTGTGGGGATTTTGCCCCACTGCTTTTGGGGATTTTTTCAGAGTGACTGGCTGGTTAAGGTCAAACCACATCATCTCAGTTATTTGTGTGGATGCTACCTTTTCCAGTCTCCCCTGACAATAATATTGAGGAGTGGAAGTGGAAGGAAGACTTTTACTTTTTCACACAGAGCCAGTTTTTTTCAGATAGCTTTTCCAACAAAAGATTACTCAGGTTATCTTTACCTGATATTATAATTAGTTTTATTAACTGAAACATTGAAAAATAACAGGATTTTATTATTTTCTTGAAACATCAATGGAAATGCATAAGAATTCAAATAGTTAAGTTAGTAGTTAGCAGGAGTAAAAGTGATAGCGTAGTATACTTAGCGTTTGCTTTAAGCATTTTGAAACTCATTGGTAAAAATAACTAGGAGCACTGAATCATAATAAGGTTTTTAGTGCTGGGTGCAACAAAAGAAAAGGCAGATACTTTAAGAGATCAACACATGGAAAGCGGTAATTCAAATGTTTCACCCAAATTAGATGCAAATTACAGAGCAGAGAACTATTTAAGTGTTGACAACAGGAAGATGACAGGACCACATCTGACAGCTTTAATAACACTGTCAGCTCATAACTACAGTTTGTTCAGAAAGTCCAAAACACCCTGGTCCTATGACATCAGTGCTATGGGTTGGCAAATTAACAGCGTTACTCATCATTCCTGATGCAGGAACAAGTTCCAACACAGAGTCGTCCATCGATACCTTCATGTGTTTACTGTCTCCCTTGTTGGGATTAGCCAATCAAAAGCTCAAAACGTGCTTCCCATGGCATAACATGCAGCCAGGTAATACTTAATGCTAACAAAGGTTGTAACGCTTCATAAAATACAGATGTTAGGAGCAACATTTTTTATTATCTGATGTTTTTAAGCCATTCTGGTCGTTACTGCGACCAAAGAAAATAGAAAGAACAACAAGTAATGCTTTATCTGCCCTGAGAAATATTTCCAAAGTGTTTTGAGATTTTCTCCAGATTTCTTAAACATAGTTTTATTAAACTAAACTATTGTTAGTCTACAGGCAGTGCTGATCAGCAGTATGCTCCAGACGGAGGTAATAACAGTAATCTGATCACCCAGGGTTTAATCAATCATGCAGTGGTTTCACGACAGCAGAAAAGGGGACTTGGAATCACCTTTCATAATAAAACTGGATAATTTACATAAAGCTTTGGTGGTGTTGCTAAAGCCGACGTACTGCTCAACTGACTTTAACTTTATCTTTGTTCCCTTATCTGTTAGGCAAAGATGTCAAGAAGGGAGCAAAGGTCAAGAATTAGGATCAATTAAACCTTTTAGAAGCAAAAAAGTAATGATTCAAAATGAGTTTGCATCTTTGTAGCATTTGTTTGTGATTTTTTGTCTCTAGAAAGAACAGTTGGATGAAAATCTAACCATTTAAAACAATATTACCACTACCAAGTTATTGTGAAATTGAAGTGGTTTTCCAACTGTGTCAAATAGTTTTGATGTAATTTGCCAAAACATCCACAAAGCGAGTTTCAGGAGAAGAAATGTTTTATAGGTTTGTGTGGAAAGTTGAATTTAACTGGGTTTATTGCTTCCCTGCAATAAAGGGATTGTAGTTTTGTCAGTGTAATACCTCTTAAAATGACAGAGCAAATGAATGTCACAGGGGCAGTCCTCAAAAGCAGAGAGGAGAAGCAATGAATGAACAAAAGCACAGATTTAATTTAAGACCTACTGTTTAAAATGTGGGACTCTAAAAGGCCTTGCAGAAACCTTACAACACGAAGCACATTTTTGACAATGTTTTCTATTTATATAAAGAATTGTAACATCAGCACAAACCTAAGAATAATATGAATATTTATGAGAATGATAAAATGCTCATTAGCTACAGCTGATCTGTAAAGTACTTCATTTGTAAAATGGTAAATCTTATGTGCTTTTCTTTTATCATATATTTGTTTTTACAGTTTTTACTTTTATTTTGTATGATAAATAAACAAAACACAAAAATAACAGCTAATATTTCATTACATTTGTGGAATTCCTTTCCTAATGCACGTGTCTGAGCAAACATACTCTGTAATACTAAGACGATTATCTAATTATCTCATTATCTAATTCTGAGTAATTAAATTTTCATTATTACTTTTAGCCTGTCACTGCATATAACCATAAATTTCTGCTTAAAATACCTGTAAGTATACACCACAGTAGAGAAGTTCGAGTTTCATCCCATTGTTCAGTTGTTGTGAAACTCCTACCTGTCCTAGTGACTCGAGAGCCTCTGGCCAGATGTGCAGGGCGCTCCACCGGCAGAGAGGGCCGGAGCCTCAGGGATCCCACTTCCTCTTTTACGTGTCACTCAAACATGCTCCTTAAACAGACAAAAGAGAGCCAGACAGAAAATAAACATTTGTTTCACTGAGGATGTCAGAAAATAGCAGCTATGCTGGGAAGAAAAAATGTTAATCTTTGAGCCTTACGGGAGGAAGTATTTCTTAAAGAGTAACAAACAGTTCATGGCAAAGAGGCGTTGCGTAGTGTTCCACACAAACAATGCACCAAACCACCTCAAAAAAGCCAGCGTTCCTCGCTGTGCACAACCTATAACAACACTTATAACAACCTATATTAGCACTAAATACTGATGTCTAAATACTGACTTTGCAAAGTCATACATTGCCAGTTAAACTCAATGTCATCTCATAAATGCATCATCCTCAATTGTTCTACAACCATCCAAAGGTCAAACCAAACTGGATGGCTTCAGAAAAGAAAATAAAAATGCACACTGAATGTCAAAAGGAGGCAGCGGTGGAGAGAAATATGGATAGACTGTTGATAAATTCCCAGAGCTGCTCACTTCACCGGATTAATCTGCTATTTTGGTAAAATCCACCGAGATGAGATGAGTGAGAATAATTCAGCGTGGGTTTATGTGTATGTGCATCTCTGTAGCCTTAATTCTGGCCTCTGGCCTACTTTAAAGCCAAGTCTTCATTCTGGTCCACTGGGACTTCAGTGGACCAGTGAGAGTGCGTACAGTAAGAGTGTATTAGCTTTGTATTACAAGAGCAGCCATAGCATAAATCTCTTTCTGCCGGCCTACACACGCCTGCAATAGTGGCAGTAAGAAGGATGTGCTGCAGTGCATGTTAGCATCAGTTCATGAAGGATTCTGACCACACACACACACACACACACACACACACACACACCGAAGGTGTCAGTCTCTTTCATCCTGGGTGACTCATCACTTCTCATCTAACTTTGTCTTTTTCTCAGTCATGCTTCTGTAGTCATCTTTATTTTCAAGCCTCTACTTTCTGCAGAGACCTTCACAAAAAACACAATGGGGCGTAATCCATCTACAAATTAGTAGAAAAAAAAAGAGTAAAGCTTCTAGAAATACTCTTGAGATTTCCAAAACAGACACAAAATAAACCTACAGAGCCATACCCAACACTGAAGCACAAATAGCAAATCATCTGTGTATTTGCTTTGTCTGCACTGTAAACCTCTTCCTGTCCTCAATTTCATGCTGGAGGAGTGTGAAATGTCACCACAGGCACAAAGACTCAGGAGAGCAGACAAGAGGAAACATACACGGTTCATTTTCTACCGTTAAGAAAATGAAACTTTAAATTAAATTAACTCTTAATAATAAAAGACGTCTTTCCATCTGTGTTTAATTAAGTTTCTATCCAGCGGTGCAGCAAAGGCGTAAACTTCCAGTCAGAGATGCATCATACATGAAATATTGCCCTATATTGCATCCAAGCAGTCAGTTGCAATATATTATATATTTCCACTCCTATACTAAAGCACCAATTAGAAGCTTCAAAGTAGATACTAACTTCATGGCAACATTTTCTCAGTCACTTTAACATTTTCTAACAAGTATCCAAAATACTGTTGCACACACAGTTTGAAGACTAGGCTTTCCACTCCAGTTGGTTGACTCAGACAAAACAACGGACAAGTTCACGAATAATAGTCCTATAAGATCAAGTGATATAAATACAGTACATAATCAAAATCACATTTAAACACAAAACATTGTCGGACTGAAATGATCTCTTTTGGTCTTTACTTTTCAGTACTATATTTTTAAAACATCCTCACTTCCTTTTTTCTTCACAGCTGTTCTGCTATACACTGAAAACGTACACATGTAAATCAAAAAGGGGGGCTCTGACCACCTCCTACTGTTGCTTCAATCTCAGTTTTACATAATGGTCCCGATTAATAATCCAAAAGTACAACAGTCTCCTCTTCTTCTCAGCCCTCTTTTCATTCATTCTGAGGCCACGTAGTTCTTGTCATGAATCCAAGAGGCCAATGACTGAGGCAGAAAAACAAATGCAGTAATAAGGAGGGGTTCACTGGTACACAAATGAAAATCATTCCTTTCTTTACGCAAGAAAACACAACCACGCTGGGCAAAAATTAAGCATGCTTTAATATTAGCACCTTTAAAGACAAAACTGCCTCGTAAATGCAGAGGTGCTACAAAGCCTGTCTGATTCTGAACACGGTAGGAAGACTTTATTCTGGACCATCTGAAAGGTAACGTGGGTAGAACTAAACCCAAACAAGTAGTCAAATTAATCTCTCCCAATTCGCGGAGCTCAGAGCGAACCGCCTGAGCAATCAGTCGAGTCCAAGGCTTTATCCAAACTGTTTCACAGAAAAAGCCACCCGGGAGCTATATTAAAGCTTTACATTCAGTGAGCAATGAACTGTTTGCAATGTGTGAGTGTTTGGTTCCCAGCCAAGATCTCTGTATGTGCTACGTGACTCCATTTGTAGCTTATGTTGTAACAGAGGGAGTCCAAAGATGACATCTTTTGTATTTGCAACAACAAGCAGCGCTGCGCCAACCTTGGGCCAACTGGTACCTCTTTTCTTTCAGTCAACCACCTCCTGCTCTATAAAAACCCTCCTGCCTACAATTCTGGAATAAAGGAAGGTGATGCATAGGCTGTAGCACTACACACACACACACCCCCACACACACACAACTGAAATTCATGCAAAACAGACATTGAAGGAAAGGCAACAAAAGATGACAACAACACTATTACAGGCAAGTGTAGTCATAGCTCACCAATTCTGACAGATTTCCAGGGGAAGCCAGAGTAGGAAAACAGGAATACCAGGAATAGAGTGTATAGAAAACACACATGAAGCAGCTGCTTGTGTCTCAATGGACACTCCATAATAGACTTTTGTTTTTAAAAGATGCAAGCAAGGCTGTTTAGAGTTTAGAAAATCCTTTACAAGCAAAGCAAACACTTTCATAAACTCGCCCGAGGGTAGTTTCTGTTTTGCAAACAATACTCAACCACATAAAAGCATTTAGCAAAATCCCATCTGACCTGGCAAGACATTACTCACCAACTGTTTCTGGACACCGTTAGGTCATGTGACTGATTGACTGACTTTCATGTGATACATATTAAAAGGCATCACATGAGACTGACATTCTCATATGATACTGTCTCACACATTTGCCCAGAGAAAAGAATATATTTGGAGATGGGGTAAGATAAGAACACAAAAAGCATCAACTCACTACTATTTCATTCATGTGTAACTTCAGTCTTAAACTCTTGTGGGATGCAACAAGAAGCAACTCCTGACCGATACCGATTTTGAGTTTGTTCTAACTCTAACCGGCTGATATTTATTTATCAAGGCATGTCCATTTGCATAGCAACATGCCAATTCAAAGTACTTTATGCAATAAAAACATAGTACAGTAACAAATTATGAAACAAGCAATAAACATTACATTTTGTCAAATGCCATCATCAAAACAATTCGCATTGATGTACTGATTTCTCATTTTTTTATTAAACATTTTTAATTGAATTGCGTTTATTAGATGTAATACAAAGTATCTGCAGTTGTTTAATGTGTTTATAGTTTGTTTCTTTTCAATACATTTAAAATAACTGAAAATCAAATGGTTTTACCAGCAGATCACTGATCAGATCTAATTAGTAATTGAAAGTTATTTTGAGCTATTATCTTTTTTTAAAGAAATCAAATTACCCACTGGCTTGAAGCCAGACATAATATACACATAAACACACACCTAGACAGACGTTCACTGCTCTTGCTACCCACACAGAATTTAGATTATAGTAGTTGAGTTGCTAAAGCACACAGAGAGCGTTATAATGACAGAAGAGAAACAGAAAAGGGAGGAAAATGTGAGTTTTATCACAACTGATACAGTCATTGCAGAAGTCAGCAATAATCAGCATACTTTTCTAATACTGTGCGGTCCTACTTTGCATGGTAAAACACTTACTGTGTGCTTGTGGGACTGCAATATGCAGGAGAAAATGGAGGCAGCAGAGGAAGAGGAAGAATTAGGAAACAAAGGACATACAGAGGGTAGATGAAAGGACAGAATAACAGACAGAAAGACAGACAGAGATCTTGTTCCTGTTTACAGAGAGCAGGGAACACAGGAAACAGAGCTGCAGGCCACCAGACCACTATATGTGTAAACGTAAGTGACAAGATACACACCACACACACATCCTTACTACCTTCAGTTGTCTGTGTCCTGAGTGATTACACGAGCTAACTCTCCTATCTCTCTCCAGGTCCCTTGGTAACATCTGGAAACTTGTGATTTGTTTTTGGTCCAAGTTCTGGCCAGCAGCCGTTGCTAACAGGACCAGGCTTCAGAGCATGCACGCCCCCCAGCTGTGTGTTCAGAAGCTCCTGGCAACATTCCCAATGCCGAATTAAATTCTTCGTAGTTTTATGCAGTGAGAAATGTCCTTTTCTGACTGACTTTTGGCAAAGTGTGAATTGAATACATTCTTTGAATACTGAATTTTTTTTCTACTTTAAAAGCACTAATTATATCAAGCAGGGACACAAACAATAGACTTACAAATAATTGTCAATTTATGGTATATTAAATTAAATTTAGCTAGCTCCACTCAATTAACGATAAAGTTCGTGCAGACCTTTCGGTGTTGTAATGTGGCCACAATCCAGAAGAAGGCGCTACTGGTCATCCTGAAGTAGATCCAGATGTAAGAGAATAAGATGGCCGATACAGGATGCAAAGTGCACTTTATTCGCTTCCGTTTTGAAATACAGACACTCGACAATCTCCGTAAGTTTTATGTTACAATAATTGTAACATGGCGGAGAAAAACAAATGCCAATAAGCACGATTGATTTTGAAGGCTTCGGTGAGTTAATGCACTTCATGACGTCAAGTTTTAACTTTCCTTCAAGAACCACAACAACCTGGTTACATGCATGATACAACAAGAAGGAAAGAGTTTCACTTATTTTGTTCGTTTCATCTTTTATTTTTCTATTCAGTAAACTGATTTC